ACTGTTCCTTATGACATGAGAATATTTTCATCCTAACATGATACTGGGTCATTCTTAGCAAAAGCTACAAGGATGTCTCTGTACTCGAGTGCAATGATTGTTGGTAGCAGCCGAACGTGTCTACATCAGCTGTTTTGACTCTTTCCTGCCACCAGGGTTTCCATGTTAATGAAAAGGTCCTGGCCAGCTGGTCTGACTGCAGATTCTACCCGGCCAAGGTCATTTCAGTCAACAAAGACGGTGAGTATAAATTCACACAACTTCAAAATGTGTGTATACTTTTATTTCCACATATATATTTATACAGATAAATATATATTTACCTATATAAACTGATCATTTATACAATCATGATATGTCAGAGTAATGATTAAATACATATAGCTTTCTGGCACAATATGATTCAATTCTTTTAGTGTATGGTCACTACTGCACAATATAGATTTATATTTTGTGATATTTTAAAATATGACTGTTTTTTAAGAATGTGCATTGCCATAACGATGTGAAAACCTAAATAAATTTAAGTAGTAACGACAAATACTATGTTAATTTCTTTTGGACTTGATGTAAAATTAAAGTTACATGACCCTTCTCATCTTTACTCCTCTCTTAGCTTCCTACACTGTAAGGTTCTATGATGGAGTCATCCAGACAGTGAAGGGAATGCACGTGAAGCCATTTATTAAGGAGAGAAATGTAAGTAGCAACTGATTTTATTTATATATATATATACATATATATATATATATATATACTTTTTATTTTTATACATTTTTAGTGTTTGTATCCTAAACACTGTCTTCATTCTAACTGACAGAGAAGCAGTAAGTCTCGGTCCTCTGAAAGAAACATGGTCCGAAGAGCTCCCAACCGAAGAGACGGAGGGCTGAACGGAGGTCCCAAAAATAAACGAGCCAGACCCAGCGCTTCAGACCAAGAGGAGGAAAGCGACAGTGAGGACGAGGAGCACAAAGAACAGCTGGTGATACAGAACCAGACCAAGAAAAGTGATGGAACAGTGGAGGCCTCATCTGCTATTAAACAGGAAAAAGAAATGATGGAACAGGGGGACGAGAACCATTCACGAGAGACAGAAAATGGGACAAAACTTAAAAATGAAGAAAATGTCAAGGATGAAAAACACAACGACAAATGTCACGTTAACGGGGATGTGAAGAAAGAACCGCAGGATTTGGAGGAGGAAGGAAAAAAGCCATATATGGAGTCAACCAAGCCATACATGGAGTCCACTGCTCAGACATCAGCAGAGACCAAACTGATGAGCAACGGAGCTCTGGAGCCCAAATCAGAAAGCGCTCAGCCGACGACGGATGTGCCACCTTCTCAGCTGGTGAAACGTAAGTTTTAAAAAAATATATAAAATGAAACCCTTAAATAGAACATGGATGGTTTATCTAAAAAAATTGTTTTTGTTTTTTTTTTTTCTATTTGCTAGCGGTGAGGAAGCAAGGATTTCACAACCCCAATAGATTCAGCAGAGAACCACGTGAGGACATTCATACACTAAAATAAGAAAATGAAATGGAAAAAAATGCAGTATATATATAAATCTAAATCCTCGATATGCTTCTGTTTGTCTGTGCCAGTCTACAGAGTCATCAAAAACCAGCCTCCTCCAGTCCTGTCCATCAATCTTGACCACAACCCGTTTAAGTGCAGCGCTCCAGGCTGCACAAAATCCTTCCGTAAGGCTAAGCTGCTGCACTACCACATGAAATATTACCATGGGGAGGAGACGCCACTGGAGGAGGAGCACAGCCCCAGCAGGAACATCCAGAACAGAGTGTCTGAGAAACAAACTATGGCCACAGGGTTGGATGTCCCAAAGAGAAGGCGCACCATCTCTGCCTCCATACGTAAGTTCTCCATACACTTTTAGCCTAAATAAATGCATCACAGCGCCATCTAGGTTGGAAATTAGTAGGATGACCTTCACATTAACATGGTGAGGAGCCCCAGTAATGCAGAGAAGAAGTATTAGCTGT